ATATTTATGTATTTATATATCCTTAATAGGATCACATAATGTATCTAAAATCCTCTTATATATCTTCAATATTTGGTCCTTAAGCTCTTCAATACCTTACTTTTGAGCCCTACAGTAATATCCTAACATTATTTTTTGTATTTTTAATTTCAGTTATCTTTTAGTCCAATAAGATATTATTTAAACATGATCAATTTCCATGTTTACTGAATGGTCCTTAAAAGTCCTTCATTCAACAAGAACATTTTAAAATATTATTATCCAACATCCTTATAAGTTCATTTTTTCATATCTAAGTTCTTTTTTTATTTCTAGACATTATATTTTCCTTTTAGATTTCCGTTTGACTATTTTCATCAGTCATATTATGCCACCTTATCTAATGTCCATCTTGGCCTCCAATTTTACATATAAATCTTCCTTTGTTTAATTAAATATTTCTTTTTAATCTCTGTCCTTTAACTATTTAAATTAAAATAATTAATCGTATTAAAGATTTCCATACCTAATAGTTCACAATATTCTTTTTTATATAAATTTTAATTTTTGTAAAAATATCCAAAGTCTATATAATTTATCGCATACTCATTCTCATCCATATCAAATTTTTTATTGAGCAACTGTGCCACATAGTCATCATAACCAGCATTTTTAAGTCATTAAGTAACCTTATTCTTCTTATACTCATTGTTAAGTTAGATTATACTTTTAAAATGATTCAGAAAGTTGTAGAAGTATGTATAAAATAATTATTAAGTTAAGGAAGATCCTTTTTTCACAGGGTAAAAAATATATATATTATCATATGCATTAATAAGGAATTACAGTTACCTTACTGTTAAAATTCTTTATATAACACTATTTCTAATAACAGATCTTTAAAAATCGAATGGATATTCGCATTAAGAGATCTAAAAAAATAATATTTCTTTTCTACTTTTTCTTTTTGAGAATGGATATCAATATTCCAATTAATACTTCTATTGCAAGTTTACTGACAAAACCAACCTATTTAAATCTAATTCTTATGAAAACCATTGAAAGTATCTGTAAAACACAATTTCATAAATTTTGGATGTATATAATATTGGTCTCATATCTAAAAGGTAACAATTTTTGGTTTATATTTATTTAATGGTATTAAATGTTTTTCTAAGCAAAAATCATCCTACTTCATTTTTTTCTATATCTTAGATTATAAAATCAACTTAAACAATTAGTTGTTTATGAGCTATCGTATTATAATTAGTATCACAGCTGTTAGATTTATAAAAATGCCTTATTATAGTCTCAGCTCCATTATTCAAATACTATTATTCAAGGAACAAGTAATTTTTGATTTCACTTAATCAGAATAGATAAATTTATTATGATAATCCAAACATTAAATATATGAAATGAAATCATTAATTTAACTTCAAAATTTTCTCTCTGAAGTTATACTTTAAAGTTTGCTGAATTAGTTTAGAATTATAATAAATTTGCATGATGTATTCAAATGATTTTCAAAATATATATAGATCTAAATAACTCTAGTTTGCTTGAATAAAAAAAACACATTGATAATTAATTAATTAGTATTATGAATAATCTAATTTGGTTATATTGTAATTTCTAATTAAGATATATGTATTTATATAAAATTCAAGTACTATGTTGCTTCTATTTTAACTTAAAGAGATTTAATAGTTTTACAATTGGTTCATTAGTTATTTGCTCAAATAATAGAAAAAAGGAAAAAATAAATACGACTAAAAATTTTGATAATTCCATTAATCCTTTTAAAGTCTGAAACCTATCTATCAACAAATAACAATATATTTTGTTTTGGTAATTGAAAATCTAAAAATAATTACATAATATTAGTAGAATAAGTTAGTATATTCAATTTCATGATCTCTATATTTTAGTATTAGACCTTGAAATATACTTCTATACATAGCAATCAAAAAACAAAAAATGAATTCATTTGAAATTTTTAGTCAAAATATAGCAACAAAAACAGAAACTTATTTTTTATAATTTTATCAAATATTAGATGTAAACTTGAATATTTGTTTATTATATATCAATATTAGGTTCTCTATAGAAATAGCTTATCTCTTGATTATCTATAAGAATTCTATACGACAAATTTCCAACCGTATTAAAAATTAGATTTCCATACTTAGATCATGATACAATATTTAACTACTGGATTTATGAATAAAATATCATGGAAGGATGAAGTATTAGATTTAAAAATCTTGTATGCTTAATTCATGAATAATGAAATATATTCCTATCTTTGCTTTTTAACTGAGAATTATTTTTAAGTATTTAAATAAAATTAATGTATGTTCTATATCCTTTTATAAATTTATGATTTTATTTTATCAACCAGAATGTCACAGAGTAAAAGAGAAGGGTTAGTAGAATAAATAAATTTATCAGTTGATTTATTGTTTAAAGGTTAAAATCCTTAATTTATATGATTAGATTTTAAGGTTGGTAAGCAATTTTTAGATTTAATTATTCAAGACTGTTTGTATGCTTAGTATAAATCACTATTTTATAAGATTAATTGATTATAAAGAAATACAATCGAAGCATAATTAAAACTTAAACTTATTTAGATAAAGTAAAATTTGAGTAAAATTTACAAAGAAGTATGAATCTATTCTCTTTGTTCATTTCAATTGTATTTAATTCATAATTTTCGTATTATTTATATTAAAATGAAAAGATACTAACAATGATTCTTATTTGTTTTAGTTTACCTATTAGTTTAATGGTTCTTTGAGCAATCTATTCAATTACTTTGATAAGTCAAAATTATCATCTAAAAATAACGAATTTTATAAGGAGCAGGCTGAAAGCACATGAAAAATTATAATGAATAAAATAATTGTTAAAATTGAAATGGTAATTTATGATTATATTAAAAACTTAATAGAAATATAAATATATTAATTAATATTGAGTAATATATAAAATAATTAATTTTTATAAGAAATATTAAAGATTTAGACATAAATAGATAAGATTGATGAAGAATAATAAAGAAAATACTAAAATAATAATCAAATTTAATAAAACATTCTTAAATCAACTCAATA